AGATTGAAAAACAACAGAAATATGATAATCAACCATATCATCACTCGCATCAGCAAATGCATCAATAATTGGATTTGAGCCTCCACCAGTTAGCCATCCAAAAATACCCCAATTTGATGCAATTTTAGCATCATATTTATGTTCCAATTTTGCTGATCCAGTCCCAATGGAGATAACCAAAAATTTCCCATAATTAGTGGGCGTCATTTCGTCGAAATTTTTGAAATATGGGTTTTGTTCGCATATTTGTTTGGTCACTTCACTTGTAGCAATAAAGGTCTGCAAAAGCCAACCACATCATATAAATTTTGAGTTAATTTCACAATAAAGTCATCTCAATAAATAAATGTTGTCATTATAGTGTGTAAGATTTAGTAACTTTATTGTTATAATAAATAACGTTAAGTTACTTTAATATAATACAAAATATAGTACTCAATTGGTAAAGTTCAATTATTTTAATGTGACATACAATAGGTTAAATTATTTAATACCGGATTGTTAGCTGCGATAGCACCATCAATAAGATTGAACTCATGAAATTTGCCATCTTCGTTTTGGGTCTGAAAATTATGTGCTGGAAGATATGTTGGAGCAACAGATGTGCCGATGCATATATCGAAAAGCTTAACATTCATTATTGAATGTTTTTTTGCCTGTTAAACAGATTAAACAAGTCAAATCAATTTGAAGCCTCTGATTAAAAAATAAGAAAAAATAGTGGAGAAAGGGACCTCAAAAGTAGAGAAAATTGTAGGTTGTATATTCTTGATATCAAAAGTTGGAATAACAACATTAGTCAAAGTCTCATGCAATTTAGTCTCCCCTAATTTCTCCTTTATGACTTGATGAAGATACTTTTCATTATACTTTGGTCCTGTTAGAAATTTCCATCCCTTTATTATTGATCCAATTAGTATCCTATATAAAATGAAAAAACAATAATATCAATAGTGATTAATTATTTTTACAAGAAAAAAAAATTCAATTAAAAAATTTACATATTATTTTGTGGAAATATCTTAGTACCATGCTCAAGATAAAAGGGCTTTATATCCTTAGCAGCAAATAGAGGACGATTGTCTTTGTTTGGAGCTGTTAGCATAGCTGTAACAAGGCCACCCGTGCTTGTTCCTGCAATTATATCGAAGTAATCTGCGAGCCTAGCATCCTCACCGTTATATCGAAGCAATTATATAGTGAACCTAGCTTGGCTTAAGAGAAAATTTGTTAAAGGATATAACTTGTTTTGAAACTGAAGCCACAAAATGGAAGAGGATTACGTTTAGAGACACTTTCTATAAAAAGAAAAGACTTCTAAAACGCCTACAAGGAATACAAACTTCACCGAACTATCCTGGCAGTACCTTCTTAGTAAACTTAGAACAAGATCTAATAAAGGAATACAATTACCTATTAAAAAGAGAGGAGGAATACTGGAAACTACGGTCAAGGATTAACTGGTTAAACGAGGGAGATGCAAACTCGACATTTTTTCATACAACAACCCTAAATCGTAGAAGAAGAAATAAAATTCTGGCACTACAAAAGGAAGATGGTACATGGCTATACGACCAACAAAACATTGTAGATTACACGACCTCCTATTTTGGGAAACTGTTTTCAACAGGACATAACTCTTCTAATATGAATTACATTACAAACATTAGGGATACAATACAGACTGATCTTAGCTACATGAGCGAGAGTCCAACTGAGAGAGAGATTAGAGAGTCTGTTTATTCCTTCAAACCGTACAAGGCCCCTGGACCGGATGGGATCCACACTTTCTTTTACCAAAAATATTGGGATATAGTAAGACCCTCAGTAGCAAAATTTTGTACTAAAGTGTGGGAAGAAGAACACATTGATCCAGAAATAAATACCACAAATGTATGCTTGATACCGAAATCTAACAATGCTACAAGTCTAAAAAACTTCCGACCTATAAGCCTATGTAATACTACTTATAAGATAGTAACTAAAATCATAGTAAATAGAATCAAACCAATTCTAAACCAAATCATAGGCCCTTGCCAATCTAGCTTCCTAAAGAATAGGCACGCAAGTGATAATGTTATTATAGTCCAGGAAATCATAAACCATTTTGGGAAAATAAAGGGGAAACAAGGTAATATGATAATGCAAATAGACCTAGAGAAGGGGTTCGATAAGCTAGAATGGTCTTTTATTAAATATACTCTGCATTATTTTAAGTTCCCCGAACGTCTTATCAATATCATTATGTCTTGTGTCACATCTAGCAGAACATCAATTTTAGTTAACGGTTCTAGAACAGAAGACTTTGAACCGTCAAGAGCAATTAGACAGGGGGACCTGATGTCACCGTACATCTTTATACTATGTATGGAAGTACTTTCAAGGATGATAGATAGGAAAGTAGGTCAAAAGGAATGGAAACCAGTACGGATCGCAGGAAAAGGACCGACTCTGTCCCATCTATTTTTTGCGGATGACCTTGTCCTTACTGGGAAAGCGGACCAACACACCTGTCACTCCATTAAAGATGCATTGTCCAAATTCTGCAAATATAGTGGACAAAGCATTAATTTAAAGAAATCAAAAATCTTGTTCTCTAGGAACTGCAAAACGTACACTATGCAAGGAATAACCGATACTATGGGTATCCCTAAAAGTAAAAGCTTTGGGAAATACCTAGGGTTTCCCATCTTCCATAAGAGACCTACAAAACAAGACTTTTAATTTATTATAGATAATATGCAAACAAAGCTTGTAGGCTGAAAAACAAAGTGGTTAAATATAGCTGGATGAACCACCCTAGCTAAATCCTCCCTAAACAACATCCCAACTTATGTAATGCAGATCCTTAAACTATCTAGTAGCATCTCCAAAAGGGTGGATCAAATCCAAAGAAACTTCATTTGGGGAACCACAAATACAAAAAAAGTAATTACACCTTGTCCAGTGGGACCAAATTACAATGGGGAAAAATATAGGAGGACTAGGACTACAGAAATGTGCAATAAAAAATGTGGCACTTCATGCTAAAATAGCGTGGAGAATCTTTAAGGAACCAACTACACTTTGGGCCCAAACTATGCTAGACATTTACACTGGATAAACGGGGATTAGAAATGGCACTGAACACAAAAAACATAGCAGCCAAATATGGAGGAATGTTAAGCTAGGATGGAATGAATGCAAAGAAAACATCCCTTGGATACTAGGGAATGGCAAATTAACTAGTTTTTGGATAGATCCCTGGATACCAAACACTCCAGCACTCAGAACACTGATAAGTGGACCCCTACCACACAAAGAAGAAAATAGAATGGTTAGTAGCATTCTGAAGGAAGGACAATGGAAAATAAAAGAGATTCATTATCAAATACCATCCAATATCATAGATAAGATAAAATTAATCGACATTCCTAAAATACCAAATCCTTTGGATAAGGCTACATGGTCCTTAGACCCAAAAGGACATTTTAGTACCTCTTCTGCATATCACCATATTAAAAAGAAATACAACAGAAAAGAGGTTCACCAAAAGTACTTCGCCTAGATATGGAAACTAACATGCCCAAACAAAATAAGGTTTTTTCTTTGGACTTGCAATTATGGAAGATTACCAACAAGCAAATATCTACATTCCATATGTATCAACATTAGCCCACTATGCACTATATGTGGCTTAATGGAAACTGATAAACACATACTCCTAGAATGCACCAAAGCCATGCAATTCTGGGAGAAAATAGGACTCCTAAAACCTATCAAAGATATTTTAGATATGAGGGAGCAAATTTGGCTCCAATCTATCAAGAACATAGGGGTCTTTTATTCTAGAAATAACATTACATGGGAGTTCATGTATCCTTTCTACATGTGGAATATTTGGCTAACTAGAAATCACAACAACCACAATAAGAAGAATATTGATATCCCAACGAAAATGCCAATGGATAAAGCATTGGAATATTATTACTTGGGATGTGATAATATAGGAAAGAAAGAGGAAAACAATGAAATTGAAAGGAAATGGATACCTCCCGAGATAGGACTAAAACTCAACATCGATGGCTCATTTGATTATGTAACAAAAAGTGGATGAGCGGGGGGAGTTTTAAGGGACAATTTGGGTAATTGGGCAGCAGGCTTCGTAGCTAAGATAAATGTCAATGGCGCACTACACTCGGAGATCATGGCTTTACTATTGGGAGCCAAATTAGCAAATAAAATACATATCAACTGTCACGCCCCAAGCTTACACCCTGGACGTGGCCGGCACTCGGAGATCATCGCTGGCCCCATGCGGACCCTTGGCCTGGCTTACTTAACTCAGCGGAATACTTAACTCAATAGAATAAACTCAATGCAATAGTTCAAATGATAATATCTTAGCCAAAATGGCAACTTATATCTCAAAACAAAGTATCTGCAAATACATAGATGAGTGACTCAATACTAACTGTCTAACTGCCTATGAAGCCTCTATAATACTGAGATGGATGTTGGGACAGACCCCACAACATCCTAATAAAGAAAACTAGGAAAATGAATAAAAGAGTCCTCCGGAGTGCAAAGAGGCTCACCACTAACTCTGGAGTGCTCAACTAGATCAACAGTGCGCTGGATGCTGATCATGGTTACCTGTGTCTGCATCATAATAAGATGCAGGCCAATTGGCATCAGTACATTGAATGTACGAGTATGCGAGTTGGAATGCTAAACCTCAACTTAAGCTTGAAATGAGTACAATCGAACACTTACCTTGGCTCTGTTTAACTCATGAATAATTGAACTCAATATAAAGCAATAAGACACATGCAATATATATACAGCTTGTAAAACAGTGTAAACAACTTAGTTCGTTAAAGATAAAGCAATAACAAACTCAACTTTACTTAAATATAAAAGTAATATAACTTTAGTGGGAGATTCTTTAACCGACAACCACTACTATGAGCCCTAATGGTAATACAACGTTTTACCTCAAGTTCCCCAAGGATCATCCTATACCTTGCCTTGATATAGGACCTTACTTAGCTTAGTGGATCCACTAGCTTATCTTACGTGATCATCTAAAAAGTATAACCCGTTAAATCCCATGTTGGCCACATGGTTCTTATGAAGATTTGAGTTAATATGAACTCGCGTCCCCAATTCGGTAGCTCAATTACTACTCCCAAATATACTTAGCTCATATGTGTTTTAAACACCTCTTTCTTTAGTTTGAGATAATTACTCAAAAACTTAGCTTAAAAGCTCTCTTGGAATCGATGTTCTCTTTTCTGAAAACTAGTCCAAAGGCTCTTTTGGAAATCATAGTTCCTTTCTTGCTCAAATGTGAAAACATTTATAAACTTCTTTGGGAATACTTAGTTCCTTAATAACTTTTTGAGAAATAAACTCAACTCTTTACTCTTTACTTTACTTGAAACTTGAGCCTTTAAAACGAAGTTTAAACGTTTAATAAAGACTCTTGAAAACTTTTAAGAAACTTTGCTTTGACTTACTTCTTAACTTCTAGACTTGACTCTTAACTTCTTTAACTTTTGATCTGAACTTTCCTTGAATTGAATTATGGATTCAAGGTTCATGATCTCATGTACCTTAGAGTGTTGGAATCAACTTAGAAATATAGGTACATCGCTTAGAAACAAGTACGAAAAGGTAGGGAACGAATGGGGAGAACTGGCGTCCCTGGCGCTCTAAGAGGCGCGGGGCGCTAGCCATCAAACTTCAGAGAAGTTTGACTAGCGCTCTAGCTGGCGCGACGCGCCAGAGGCCAAACTTCAGAGAAATTTTTGTGACGCACTGGCAGGCGCAACGCCCAACCCTTTTTTCCCAGCGACTTCCGACTTTTCTCTTTCGTTTTTCATCTCTAAACTCCCCTAACTTCCATAGTTCTTTCCCCAAACACTTAGGATCAATTATACCCTCAATATACAACCAATCTAACTCGAAAAACAACCCGGAAACATGAATTAACTCACCCCCAAGCATCAACAACTCAACCAACAAGAATTCTACAATTTGTTCTTCAAGAACCTCACTTCTTCAGGGTGTAAGCAACTCAAAACCAATGGATTGAAACAAGTTGGTGTGTGGGTGAACTAACCCGACACGAAAAGATCTCACATACCTTAATAGGGATCACCCCCGACAAATTTCACTCGCAA